GCAAATGCTCCACATTTAGGTTGAGTATACTGTCTGTTTTCCTCATCTTAGGTTTATCAAATAAAACAATACACAGTTTTCCTTCTGCTGGAACTGAAGCATTCTGAAGTGACAAGTAAACTTGAATTATGAAACAGAAAAACTTAAGTTGTCAACCTGACTGCACTGCAAAATCAACAAAGCCACAAACAATGAAAAGTATGTTAATTCACAGGATGCTGAATGGAGTTATTCTGTTGCCATGTTGTAGATGGTGAGAGGTGAGATACAAAACATGGCTGTGGGGGGATGGAAATATGGTTACCCCTTCCAACTTAGATAAAAAGGAAAGAAAATGTGGGTAGACTGGATTTACTAGCTTATGATTTCACATCAAGCTGATTAATCTTTAGGATGAACAAGATCTTCTGAAGCAGTATCTAGAGATCACGATGATTTAGTTTGCTTTATGTTTTAATAAGAATTTACTGAAATTCATACATTTTGTTATAAACGGGGCAGAAAGAATTTGATTCTTTAAAAAAACAAGTAAGAGAAAAGAAATCAGGCAGGTGCTTTCATCTATTCTACTTCCAGTAATATTGATAGCATACTTTGGAGGACGGGATGGGTGAGTGACAGAACATCAGGCCTTTTCTAGAATTTCAAAATTGGGTAGGATAAACTGAAGGAATTTGATGGTGGGTTTCCTTCCCTAATATCTGCTGGGGATACGTCTCATAATAAAGAGGAAGAAGTTTGTGGAAATTTGTTGTTGGAAAAATCTATTTGTGGATTTCTGGTTCTTTAAATACCATGGTTTGGTTCTAATGTAATGATCTTAGTTTCTAATAAACCAAAGTTTATTAGGGAGAGAATAACCTTGTGCCAGCACAGCATTTCTTTGGTTCTGGTCTTTCTATTGACTTTCCACATTTGCTGATTAAGAACATGTGTAATTTAATCTATGTATAGCAGTGAAGACATGTGAATTCTTGTTTGCAAAAGAGATTAAAGAAGAATGTTTTGGCTCAGGAGTTTAATAAATCTGGGAAGAGCTCTGTTATGGTACAGAAGCAAAGGGGGAGAGAGAATGATAGTGGTTTACTACAAGGCTGTACTCGACTATGACTCCCACAGTCCATTGTCATGGCACATGCTGGTTGGGTGTGGTAGGAGTTGAAGTCCAAAACATTTGGAGAGCATCTGGTTACCTATACTGGGTAATGAGATTGATTAATAAGGCCCCGAGAGATGCTCAAAATGCCAAGACCAGCCCTTGGCATTTTGCTGCCTGAGGGTGAATAGCAGGATGATGCCAGATTATGATGCTGGACTGATAGTCAAATCGATCTTCAATGTTTGTGATGAGGTAGCATCCTTCTCTGCCCCTAAAGATAGTAGGCCAGCTTAGGAGACACAGGCCAGGCTATGAATCCCATAAGTTCTCTTCTTTTGGACTGATGCCATGTCTCCCTGTGTTTTATCCTTGAGGTAACAATCTGACCCCATCATATGGGGAGGCCAGCTCTGTGGCTAACACTGAATGTCAGATATGGTCACCTGCACCCTAGAAGGCCCCCTCTGAAATTTGTGAAGCACCTACAAGGACTCTTTGAAATTCCTCTCAAAGACTCCCCGTCTTCACCCTGTCCTTCTGTCTGTTGGTGTTCTTTTGCTCCGTTTTGGGTTTTCATCCTTCCCCTTGCTTATTTAAAGGAGTATGATGTTTGTGTTTTAATGCTGATTGTAAATCAAGATTGGCAGTAGTAGCAGCAGCAATAATAGGGATGGGGCTGATGATGATTGTGACAGAGACTTGTATAAAGCTATGCCTTTAATTGTGTAGAGAATAAAAGCGAGCCAAATCTTGCCCCGCTACCCTTCAAACTGTTGTTGCGCAATATGGCCTAGTTGGAGACTGACGGAACAGGCTAAGTGAATGTGGCTCCATGCCCCTTGTGTTAATTTAAATACCTCGTATGCAGTTTGCTCCTATGGCTGGTAGATAATAAATTTGTGACAGTCGTGAAACAGGCAGGCATCTCCTGAGACTGAGGTCAACTTTACAGCCTCTTTTCTTTGCCTTGGATACATCCTACTGCTATTACATGAATAATTGGGCTCTCCAGAGACTTCTACAATTGCAAGTTTATGCAGTGCTGTTAGACTTACAGTACAAATCCCACTGTGTAGCGAGGTGGCCTTTTAGCTGGCAAAAAATCAAAGCAGCATAGTGTCATTTTCTTACGCAACATGCATGCCTTCGGTTTTCTCTATTTTAAATCATGAATATATTCATGGACATGTGAAGGTCTCAGAAGAGACAAAACTTCTCAGCATAAGCTTGTTTGTTTATTTATTGGTTTATATTTGTTTCGGAAATTCTTTCCCCAGAGAAGTCTACCAGTTCATCTTAGTTGGTGCTTTTAGGAGGGGAACAAAATACTACTTTTTTTGCTTAGACTTTCAAGTGGCAGACCATTGATGCATATGAGTAGATTTTAAGTGCTAATTCCTGCTTACAAGATGCTCTTGTTTTTATTACTGATGGCTGTGGTGGTTATTTGTGTCGGTGTGTGTTTTAGTCACTTTTTATAAACCCAAAGGGAATGTAGAGACTCTGGAAATCTCTCCCTTGAGATTTCCACTACAGCTGACAATACTGTATATCTATGAAGGAGGAGGAAAAGTAAGCTTGATTTGGGAACTCAGTTGGGATGAGATGAGAGCATGTAAATATCTGCAGTATATAAATGTTACACCACCATTACAGACCATACAACACTCCATCGGAGCCGTTTCAAAACTGGTATTTTCTTAACTGAGATGGGGAAGCCCCAAGGTTTCATGAGCCATCTCGGAGAGGTAGTCAAGTGCAGGCAAACTCTTTACTACAATGCATTCTGTGTTAGTCTGCTCCTGAAAATGGTTGACCACCTCATCCCAGATTTGAAATGCTATTGATTTCCATTGCAGAATTCAAAATTGTTGACTAGTAAACCCCTAACCAATTATGGGCCGGAGCCTCTGAAAGGATGTCTGTTTCTATTATCAACTGGTCCATAAGTGTCAATCATCATCAGAAGTCCTGTTATATATTCCACCAGCGAAAAAAAAAGCAATGGGTATACGGGACCTTTGCAGTCGCAGCAGTGAGTATATATTTCGTCCTTGAGAGAAGAACTCCTTCCTTACGCTGCTTTTCAGTCACGTTTTTAATGCTGCGTTGCAGCATTAGCATTCTGTACTCAGAATGGGTTGGGTTTTGCTACTCTATTACCCCCTTATTTCATGATCCATTTTAATTGTATTATTACCTGGTAGGCTGAGGATTTTATCAGATACAAAAATAAGAATGCCATTAGCTGTCCACAGGGCTCCAACTTCCAAATGACCACTTCTTCTCTGTCTTGGCTTGCTAAATCTAAACCTTGGCACTGTAGCTTCCTATTTGAACTGACATCTTCACATGCACAATGGTTAGACTATAGGCCTTGCAAAGAAACACAACACCATCTGGTTACCTCAAATAAGAAAAACGTAATGAGTCACATGTTCTCTCTTTCCCCCCCCCATGAATCAGAGGAAAGATACAGTTTGTTCACATTTATTATTAAAGAAAAGAGAGATGGTGGGGGGGTGGGGGGTGGGGGGAGAGAATATGCAAACTAGACTGATTGTGTCTGACCACTGATGCTGTAACAATGAATTGGCCCATTTTCTATCAAGCAAGCCTGAATGGCACATCACTGCTGAATGATTCCAGTGAAATTGAATTGGCCTTTTCTCAGGTTTTAGTCGTGTACCCATCCATCAAAAACAGTGCTTAACTAGAATGCAAGATTAATGACTGCCAGAGATTTAATTTGCTAATACCTGAAAGAGTCACTAATGGGGTTTGGGAGAGTTATGAAAGGTGGAGGAGGGATACTGAAGAAGACATGATTATGGCTCTGAAAATCAGCCTTGTATGCAAGCCCAGCCATTTATTAATAAGTTTGGGAGAAGCCAGGGTTCTTTGGTTTCTCTGTAAACCACCTAAAAAGAGCTGTTTTTAATTATTTATTCTCAGCAACACAAACAGGGGTTTTGCAATGTATTTGGCTTAGTTGTCTTTTAGTTTCCTTACACTTAGAGAAAGGACTATTTTTTTCTGGCCTTCCAAGACAAGAAGAGAGAACTATCAACCCATGGTTTGATGCCTTTTGATTCACGCAACCATCACTCTTGAACTTCTCCGTGTTTTCCTCCAGTAAGCCAGCTCCTGTTTATCTGTGGGAATCTTTTATTTTGTTTTAACATCTGCTTCTCCAGCTGGACTGGAAAGCCAACCGGAGCTTGACATGGGATTTAAATGCTTATTTAATTTAGTAGGACAACTCTCCCAAACCCTGCAATCTCCTAAAACAAAACACATATTTTTCAGGATGATAAATACTATGCATTTATAAGGATTTAATGCACATTTTTGATGTATTCTCCATGCTTCTGGACAAACAGAAATGAAAGATGGATGTTCAGACAGGTTTGAGATGTTTATTAGATTTCTTTGGAGGGGGTGGAAATCAGGGCACCATACTTCAGATATTGGGATTTTAACTTTTAAGGGTTATATTTTGATCTATATATCCCAAGGGGTCTCAAATTCTGTGCTTGTGCAACCACCTGCAGTGGGCTTTCTGGGCAAAGTGTTAACTAAGTGCTTCGACAACACTCCTGCTTTGCCTGTGCAAGCCAGTTCAGGCTTAAAAAAAAAAAAAAAATTACCCTCCAAAACAGATGTAACCCTGGTTCTACACATTGTGTGAGCCCACCCAATTGCTTATTCACTATACCGTGGTTAAACAAACCATGGCTCATTGCAATCCTTGAGTCCAGCTTATGAGATAAACATGCACATCTTAAAGAAGATATGTCTTCTCTTTTGTCTGCTCTTGTAGGCAGTGCAGAAGGTCCTCCAAACTTCCAGCCTGATATCATGAGTGACAGTCAATGAACTAAAAAGGAAAGGGACTTACTTCTCTGGGAACGAGCGCAACAGAAAGCCACAATGGTGGCCATCAGGACCAAGAAAGCAACACCAGCTCCAACGGCCACGCCTATGATGACGGCCATGGGCACTGACTCTGGAAGAAACAAGAAAGCAAATGAAGTGGAGAAGGAGTCTGCATCCTCTGTTCCTTTTTCACTGCCCCACACTTACTACCGTGACCTCAATTATTTATTCTCAGACTTGCCCATATCATCAGTAAGACTAATTCCTACTCAACAAAATAGACACAGGGTTAGAAATGCATGACAGACTACGATGAGCTGGAAAGGCACATGTGGGTTTAGGAGTAAGGCTTATTTTTGATCACTAACCCCTGGATCTCCTGTGTTTGTCAACATAAAGTCAACTTTTGCTGCCAAGGCTGGCTAGGATGAATTTGGATGGTCCAATCCCTTCAGGCGATTTACTTGAAATATTAAGACCTTTGTTGAGGACAGAGACAGTGGCATTGATAAAAGTAAAGTTAGTGTTGTGTGCTTGGTTTGAGTATCTGGGTGTCTGTAGACCAAGTGCATCATTTATTAAATAAAGGATACAGGATGGGCTACTTTCCTGTTTTGCTTCAGTCATAAGAAAAGCAAGTTTCTGAAACTCTCCTGTTCAATCAATCACACTTGTGGGCATAGCGTGACTAGATTAATCTTTCTCACTTCTGTTACGGATAGCAGCTTTTAAGGGCTTCTAACTCATCTCCCCCAGGCTTATACATGTAAATTAGGAGCTCTGCCACTTAACCACAACCCTTCTTCTAATCCTGTCATCTGTCATTCATTATCATCAGAACAAACCATTTCTGCTTTTATGTGGACCTTTACTGGAGTATAATTGTTTGATTATCTATACACAACCTCCATTTAATCCAGAATGAGCATATGTTGGCGTTAGAAGGTGGTTACAGGTACAACAGCAACTCCACCGTCAAGAGTCTCCTTCCTGCCCACAGCACCTTGCTGTGCCTGCTCTAATTTGGGGGACCTGCAGAGAATTCAATCTGCATTCTTCTTGGTGTAGCAGTTAAGGTGTTGGACTAGGACCAGGAAGATCCATGTTCAAATCCACCTTCATCTGTGAAACCTCCCTGGGTCAGTTGTCTTTTAACTCAGTCACTTCACTGGCTTCTTGGGAAGATAAAGTTGGAGGAAGAAGGGAAGACAAGGATGCAGATTAACACACATACACACACACACACACACACACACACACAAATCTCCTTCAGACCTTCCATTTCTGGAAGATGGGGTGGGGTTTGCCTGGGTACCTATTTTTGCTCCCTGCATTTAGTCTTCAAATGACCTAGATAAATGCTTGCATAGGGTGATTGTGTTCAGCAAAATGGCTAGATGGACATAGCAGTTGAAGTGATAACCTCAGAATGCAAGTTTGTTGCCAATGAACTTAAATGATTGCAGTAAACAACACACACTCTATATGTAGCAATCTAGCAGTTGTTGTTTTTTTTGCTTGAAGGGAATTTTCAGAACTTGGGATAATAATTTGTCATATTATTTGTCTATTAATTTGTCCAGGAAGTCCTGGGCGGTGGGATTTCCTGTGTAAAAAAAGGTGCTCTCCACCCCCCATAAACTCCAATAGCTTACACTATTTCAGCCCCATTTTTCATGCTCCCCTCCTCTCCTCTGTTACTGCAATTTTGGAGGCATCCAGTTCTACTTTTAAAGTAACAAGAACTTCAGATTACATCTGGATTTGGGGAAGTATTAAAAGCATCCCCTTCTTGAACTAGCCTCAAGGATGGAGAATCTGCAAGCTAAGGCTTGCTGGTCTTTATACACAGAAAAACTGTTCAGTGATTTAGGATAACATCTGAACCAAATTTAGTTCTTGGTTCAAACATGCTCCCAAACCATGGTTTAGTGTTATGTTCCTGAGCCTAGGAATGGCTCTTCATGTGCTCTTCATCTGTCTACTTAATGAAATGATTATGTGGCATCAACTGTTAGTTATCACATAGATAGACCTTTTCCAGGATGAACTTAACTAAATACTTCCTATGGTGCTATCACAAAATAACTCAATGCATGGGATAAAAAGTCAGTGAGTTTTTGAAAAGTTAAATACAAATTTTAAAAATTCTTGGCCAGCACTTGCTTAGTTTCTGCTTTGTAATGGATTATGATTGAACAGTACTTTGGGTTGAGGACATGCTGTCTAAATTAATTGTTGCTTGTCAAAAATGATCCTGAGGAAGTGGGTGTGAAGTATAGGAATGTGAAATAAAACTAGCAGCTGTCAAAAATACAAATTTTCTGTCATTTTACATCTTCTCCATCCCCCAATAATCCAGCCAGTGTTTAGATTTCAGAGCCCATACAGTGAGCCCCTGCACTCCCATAAGAATGATTGCAAGTTATATTTGTGAAAGGTTGATGAAGAAATGGTACATGATGTGAAAGGAGGGAAAAGCTTTTTTCCCTCCTTTGGTAGCAGCAGAATCTACTGAAATAGTCTTACAATCCTGGGGGATAAATAATATGTTGCTATTTCTTCACCTGGTTTTACCTTCTCCATCTCAAGGCCAGCCCTACCATTATGTAAAGTGGCAGATGTTGAGGAACAGTAGTGTCAAGCTCTTGGCTGCTCTGGCTGAGTCCCTGGGTCATTCTATTTTGTTCTTTGTTTGAGGACATTTCTACCTTCCCTGGATTCATAAACCAGGAAGAGCGAATGGCATCCTACCATCAGGATAAGAAGAAAGGAAGATTGAACAATTAACCCAGTTAGCTTTTGTTCCCAGAATAGGGATGAAGAAACATCCTTCCCTTGTTTTGGGCAGTAATATATTTTAGCCCAACCTTGATCCCAAACCATATATGGAAAGAAGGACACAAATATTTGGGGGGGGGGGAGGAAAAAGAAAAGGTCTACTGATCAGAGGAAGAATTCAAGGGATTATATTATGTTGACTTTTTTCAAACTTGTTAACTGGTAATTGAAATTATATAGAAACCCAGTCCTCTTGAGCCTCAGCACAAACTCAAATGTCCAGATTGAAATGTGACATACCAAAAATGGTGAAATGTAGTTCTATGAAAGATTGGACATTTTCAACTCTCCACACAGATTCATTTGTTATTTGGAAGAAGTGGCTAATTCATAAGAAAAAAATATCAGATTCATGAGCTGCAGCCATTGCTGTAACATGGAGACTTGGTCATGTTCATTCATTGTTGGTGACTTCCAGCTTACACAATTCAATGCATTGTCCTTAGGGCTGTCTTTGAAGATGCTGCAAATGTTGCTGTCCACATTTTGGTAGACAAAAGGTAGACGTTGGTGGGAACACCTTACAACTTCATTGTTTTTCAGTAGGACTGCGGATACATTAGGGAAATGGCTTGGTATATCACTGTGATTTTGGCTTGCTTTCATGTCACCCATAGTTTGATACCAGAGGCAATATTGAACTGTCTCTCAGTTGATAGCCCACTGGTCAGGATGGTCTTGCCCAGTTTTGATTCTGGCCACTTTCAATTACTGGATTTGAGATTCATGCCCATGTGTGAAGTCATCACAGTTACTGGTGGCATTTGAAGAATGATTCCAGATGGAATGTTAGAAGCCTAGCTGGAGTTGCAGGTCTGAGAGTTCGCTTCAGGGAACACCCACACTCTATCTACCGTCCATATGGAATTGTTAAAACTGAATGAATAAGGGGAAATTTTTTCTCTTATACATGGCCCTTTCTTTGCTTGCTTTTATGATGGGTATGCTCTTGCAGGGTATCCCCTATTGGTAAGGAAAGTGTTGCAATATAAGATTTCATTATCTAGGCCTCAGCAAGTTATCATACCAAGCTTGAGATCCCATGATTCCATCAGGTTAATTTCTGAGTCTGACAATCCTAAACTTACACTGCTTTCTTTTGCAGTTGAAACATGGCCTTTTCCTTCTTTCCTGTCCAATGCGAAAAAGTGATTGCAGTTATTTCAGCTACATGACAGCAACTATTGTTATTAAAATGCCCTCTGCTGGAGGTGTCTCAGCAAACAATAGAGACCCCAGTACATGCCATCTGGCCCTTGCCTTCTCTGCCTGAACTGCTGCTAGGGATCTATGCGCGATGGAGTCTGTTCAATCTTAATGGCACAATTCATGCTTCTGGCCACAGGTACAGAATATACCTCTGCTTTCCCATTTTCCCACGCTTTTGTGCACCTGATTGGTGAATGATTAGAGGTGTGGTTTCACCAGGAACTGACAATATCGAGGGCATGGTTCTTTATATGCGTTTCGGTTCTTTTGTGAACAGCAAATAGCTATTCGCTGCTATCTGGATCAGAAGGATGATTATTTTCACTGGCCTTGTTATTTGTGTATTTTGTGTATTTGAAAGGCTGTCAAAAGACTTAGGGTGCAATTTTCAAGGCCACTGGATTAGCCAGGTGTCCTTTTCTAAGAATAGAGTGAAAGTTTACCAACCTCAGAGAGGTGAATCTGATATCGGGCCCACAGTTCTGCATCCCTACCAACCTTTTTGTAGTTTTTCGTGCTTTTTAATCTGTACATTTTTGTCCATTTTTACCATTATATTTATTCTTTGTGTATTTTTGGGGATGTGTGTGTGTGTGTGTAAACCCTAACCCAAAAATTCTGAAAAGTGCAGATTACAATATGCTTGTAGCTTCAGTTTTTTTCAATGTAATCCAACAGATCTGAGATTGATTTACGTATCTAAGAATTCTGATAGTTATCTGGCTAGTTCCTTTCTTGTTTCCACCCATTTTCTGCCAATATTCAAGATGTGGATCCATCTCTTGGCCCTGGTTAATTTTAAGACCAAGTTTCTTACAGATTTGATTAGGATCCACCACTGAAAATTTTCAGAAAAATTTGTCACTACTTCCTCTGGCCTTTCCTTAAATGGGTTCTGTTGAATTGTTCTTTAGCTGTTGGGTATTGCTTTACGGGGTGGGTTGTTTTAACTTCCTCTTATTCTTATTGTTACCATTATTCTTATTTTTATAGCATTTTTATAGCCATATGTATTTATTGTTATAAGCCACCTTGGGGAAATGCTTGTCCTTAAAAGAGGCTTAGAAATATTTCAAGTACATCAAATGAATAAATGAAAGTGGTGGGCAACCTGCAGGGGTACCTGTGGGGGGGAAGGAAAAAAAAATTAAGATGGTAGCCACAACTGTGTAACTAAAGCCCTGCCCCCTTTTTAATGTGCAATACGTGTGTCAGCCCTCCAAGGTAGGCCAACCTTGGAAACCAAGGACACACAAGCTAATACTACTTTTATTATATGGTTATAATAATAGACTCTTGTAAGTCTGAATATGCTTCTCCCCTCCCTCCCTTTTTCTTCATGAGAACTAGGGAGGGTCATGTCTGAGATGCTTTAGCAAATTACATTTCTGTCCTGGATTCAGATTTCTTTTATCTCATTGTTGTCTTGTTTGTGGCTCTTCCTCCTGTTCCTCAAGGTTATTCCTTCTTCCCATTACAGTCACACACATGAGAAAAGAGCAGGGCTTTGATTACATGGCTGCAGAAGCCATCTTGCCATTTTTGACACCTCCCCCCCCCGACCCACTACCATGGATGTCCCTGGCAACCTGCAGGCTTAAAGTTTGGCTTAAGCCACCTACAATGATCATCCAGGTTCCTTATCAGAATAATCTTGTTTTCCCCTGGCAGCCTGATGGATGAGGAAGACGAGGTAGGAGGGGACAGAGTGAAATGCCAAAAAGAACAAAGCAATGGCTACCCACTTTGAGCTGTGATCCCACTCCATCTGAAAATGGTCCATGACAGATCAGGCCCAAGGGAATGTGAACTTTAGGAGAAACAACTTTTCCTACTCTTGTTCTAAACCACCCTGGAATGTAGGTTGAGCAGAGAAGATGTTGCCAGCCAAGGTTTCAGAGGAACACACAGGCCAATCCAGAGGTAAGTGAGAAGCTTTTGTGATGGAAAGATGGAGTACTAATGACAGATGCAGACACTGAGGGAAGATGGCTTGTGATCGGGCTCATGCATGGAGAAGGTAGCCCAGAGCAGGGCAGGGATGATGGGATGGGAAGATGCTTGCAAAAAGCGGTTTTCAGAAACATGGTAAACTTAAGTTAGCAAAATAATTCCTGCAGTGGAACTGCCATCTCTGTTTCCCCAAAGTGTCTAACCAGGACTTTTACAGATTTAATGGAAAGTGGACTACAGTCCATGATAAATTCCTTGGATTCCCACAAGCTTCCCAAGAGCAGTAAGTTATGTCTCTTTGTTAGACAATCACTGTTAGTTTAACAAAAGAGGGAGGTATAGGCTATACCTGAAATTTAATTTTGCTAGTGGTTGCTTTGACGTGCCAGCTTTCGTGCTAGAGATGAGGTTCAATCAGTGGAACATGGCTTAAAGAATATGTTAATAGGCCATTCATGGGCATTTTCCAGCTCTGGGTCTAAGGATAAGTAAGATATCCTCTTCTTCACCTCAGTAGCCATAGTGTGAATTTTAGCACTATCCCATTTGGAAAAGTGGGAGAACTTGGTCAGTAATTAAAGAACCCAAGGATTCTGAAAGCTAACCAACCCTTCCAACAATGCTTCCTTTCTCAGGCATCCTTTTACCTCCTGTTAATGGATGTGGCATAACTGTTTCATTGGGGTTAGCTTGGGAGATGGGGGAGATCAGTTCACAGAGTCACCTTCACTCATAATTCCGTACCTGTTTCCATACCAGCTCCTGACTTCATTTCCGTACCTGTTTGAAAATAAAGCAAGTGTCTACAGCCAAAGCCCAACTACAATGTCAGTCAGTCAGTTATTTCTTTTGCTTTTGCCAGTGTTGTCTTTTTTAGAGTACGTGAATCCTGAGGAGGTTTGGCCCATCATTTCCAGAGGCAGCTTCAGGGGCAAGACCCCACTTGTTGCAAATGTTAGGGTTCCAAATTGCAGGGTCGCCTCTGGACATCAGGCAAAACCCATCTGAGTGGCTCAGGTCCACAGTATTTCAAAACTACACTTGGTGGCAATTGCTAGTGAGGCATCATTTTAGAATACTACGTTATTGAGCTCTGAGCATGGGGCCTCTTTGTAGGACTGTGTATGTCAATACAGTCCTGTATATAAAAAAAGAAAGAAAGAAAGGGACCTTTGCTTGTGGAAAGCTATCTTATTAGGGAATGAATCTAGCTGAATGATGGGCAAGACATCTAGCTTTCTATCTGCAGAATGTTTTAAAATCCAGGGAAACATTCAAACAATCAGCACCGCACTTGTAGGCAAAAGGGGTATAGTCTTGGGACCATTGTATATATGATTAGATTGGCAGCTGGAAAAGCAATTGTTGGAAACTTTATTCCCTCTCCTATAGGCTCGGCCATTATAAATCAACCGGCAGCTTTTCAACCTACATCAAAATTATGTTGCTATTTTTGGCAGAGCTGTCTGCTTTCTAAGACTGCTGGGCAGTCAGCAGTCACCTGTTTTTTATGAGCTGTGCAGAACAGTGGTCCATCTCAAATGATCTTTAATTACATTTATCTGTATTATGAACAACTGAACAACTCCTTGCAGAATGGTTTGCCGGGATTCACTTTCTTAGCACCACAAATAACATCTGCTCACCCTAACACATCTCCTACCTTAAGGCAGGGAACAGGAAAATAAACTACTAACTTTATTTGCACTGGGCTGAACCCAAGGCTGACTAAGTCCATTTAATTTCAATTTAATCTGAAAGGCAGCCTTGCCTATAAATCAGAACTTAATGAGAACAGTCCAAATGCCCACTCTAACATTTAAGAGGAAGGGATGAAACTGGAGATCCTACAGAAGCAATTCTGCTCTTCCTTCTGGGACTTTTCAGTACCCAATTTAGAAGGGGACCTTTAAAATTATAATCGTATTTCAATCAAGTGCATTTCCTTTTATGATGAACGAAACAGCCTTCCTCTTTCAGCTTTTGGTAAAGACACAATGAAGAGCCTGCAATAGAGTCCATTTTGTGATTGGATCCTGTCTCCCAAGTGACTAAACAGGAAATATAGCCCATGCTTTAAGTAGGTTTCATGAATCATTGTTGACTTCAGCAAATAGCTAAATTTGACTGGTTACACAGTGTTATGTGGCCAAGCCTATGATCCCTGACTGGATGGATCATTAGACGAAAAATGAAATGGGGAGGGGAAATTTGCAATTAAAACAGCAGAACAGTGGGGAGGGGCAGTGACTGGATGGTCATGAAAATATAGAATAAATAATGGTGCAGGCTGTTTTCCCCAAACCATTATTTGCATGTCAAAATGCAACTCTGAAGAATATTAATCTATAACCCCCAAAGAAATTCTGGTATCCAACTAACCCCCTTCATGTGACTATCGTGCTTTTGCGGAAGATGACTGTAATGGTGAGGACCCCATTTTCCTCTGTCCTTCCCAGTATGAAATGGCTTCTCTTTTGCATGCATGTGCCATAGTAGTTAAAGCTTTAGCTCGCTTTTCCCCAAAGTACACGGGCCCCTGTAATTTTCCCGTCTCTCCTAATTGGTCATTTTCTCATGCCTTTTAGCTTAAGAGTGTTATCTCTTCCTTTTAGAAGGCATCTGGCAGGGAGAGCAGGATGGATGAGCTGGTATTATTTTGCTCAAACATTTGATAACCGGTAGGCAAGAAGTATAAGCAAGGAAAGTTTGTAATTAGAAGAATGAGTAATTGCAGTGCAAGATTGTATATGCTTCATAAACCTCCCCGGGAAAGGGGTTCTACTCTAGCTTGAATAATCAGGGAAACATCCATAGCTGCCTTGGATGAGGATGAGAAGGTCCCAGAGATGAGTTTTGGTCTTGTATTTACATTCCTCTATTGAATGTTGCCAAGTCTTGTTTTATTCCCTGCCTATGGATATTTCCTGTCCATATGATGCTTTGCAGTCAGTTATACTTTTGCTATGCTTTGCTTAATAAACCCTTTCAGCTTTTACTTCCTTTGTGTGTTTACTGCTTTTGAATCCACACCCACATTTTAGTGAGGCAAGACAGGGACTCAATTCTTAACTTCTTAACTTCTATTTAGGGCAGCTTCAACTCTTTAGAACTTCCCTTCTCAAGTGATTAAAAGTTTTCTGTCTGGGAACACTCAAGATATTTCGAGCAACATCCCATTTCTCCACTGTGTTTATGGTGACACAAAAGCAAGGTGGTAATGGGATGAACTAGAACTTCCTGGACCCATCCATCCGTGTTCAGAATCTGAAGAAACTGTTCTTCTCACTTGGTGCCATTTTGTTCTGCAGGCACGTCATTGAAACATATAGCTTCACTTAAAACAATTTAGTCTAGATTCAGTTTATATGTAAATTATGTAGTGCACCATAAGGACAAATAGTTAAGACCCACCCTTGGGATTTCAGTGGTGGGCCAGGATTTGCATTCTGTATAGGAGGCAAGGTGGAATACAAAGCAATGGGTGGGCCAAAGAGGGGGGGGGGGAAAGCCCTTCATCTCATCTAATTTAATTTAAACATTAAATGAGACGGGAAGAAAATGGAAAAGAGGGAATGTCCGAGGGTAGAAGCTTGTAACATTTTCTCAGTGGTCTAAAGATCAGCAAAAAGTCCAAATGCAACACAGATTTTTTTTTTCTATATGAACATAGAAGATATTCCCCATATTTGTCTGGCT